TTTTTTTTGAAAGTCATAATGCAAGCATCAACTAATAAGCGAAAAAGAGAGAACGTCGTAAGAGAGAATGCATGGTCTACTGAAACCAAATTGTCGAGACAGGCCCGTAAACGCAAAAACAAAAAACTTAGGCGTGATCAGAAACAAGCCGAGATGCTTCATGAGTTGGACGTTGACATCCCTTTGCTAATCGATGATATCGTCTTCGATCCATCTCGGCATCAAATCCAATCCGCCACCTGAAAAATATCCGCTAATGATAATATTTATTATTTGGAGAGGGAGTGGACAAGTATTCCTCTCTGCTCTTCAGATCGGGTATCAACCAAAAAAAATAAGACTCGGTATGACATATCGGCCGGAGAATTGCTAATTGAAACTCTAATTAGAGAAGCAAAATTCTCTGACAGTAACTTTTTTGAGTTGCCCGAGATTCTGGCAAACTTTCTCTCTCTGATCTATACTGACATTATAAGAGAGACCAATGTCGGCATTGAGGGATCATCACCTAATACTACTAATAAGCGATTGTGGGTTGCTTTCGGCTAGTGGCTAGGCTTAAAGGGGCAGGATGGTCCATTAAAAGAAAGCATGTATGACAGCACCTCAGGTTGTTATGGAAAAAACTCCGGTACGCTCATAATATTCAAAGTGATAGAGACTTTTAAGATTTTTTTGACACAGCTACCGCTTTTAATACTTGAAAAGAAAAGGCACGTCTGATCATATCAGCACGTCATAATCCCCAATCGATAAGTGAATTGGTCCAATTCAAACATATAGCAGAACCAGAGTGCATTACGGATCTAAGTGGCCTACATTGGTTCACTTAGAGCAACTCGATATCTACAATGCCGTTATACTTGCAACCAATACTGTAAATAATTATTATTTCCATACGTTGGAGCATCCATCACATCGAAGCAACGAATTTTGGACCAATTTTATCGAATATTTCGGGGCTTATACCAGAAACAACTTGCTCCCTTTTACAAGCTCCAATACTGCAAGTACG